TACATGGGCATAAGCCAATAGGAAATCCAGAGCTGCCATGAGGTCAAAGGGGAGTGAAGCTGGGGACAGGCAAGGGAAGTAATTGCATACTGGGCAGAATGCTACCGGTACCTTGCAAGCATTCAAAGAAAGCCTGGCAGATTATTTCCTTATTGACGACATTTGCAAGCCACCCCATAACATAGTAAGATCTCCTGGCAACTTAAAATAAATAAGCATAAAAGCAATGCTCAATTTAAAAAAACACACAAAACCATGAGTTGTAAAGCATAGTACAGTGGTACCTCAGGTTACAAACACTTCGGGTTACAGACTCTGCTAACCCGGAAGTAGTACCTCGGGTTAAGAACTTTACCTCAAGATTAGAACAGAAATCGTGTGCTGGCGGCATGGTGGCAGCAGGAGGCCCCATTAGCTAAAGTGGTACCTCAGGTTAAGAATGGTTTCAGGTTAAGAACGGGCCTCCAGAACGAATTAAGCATAGCTGTCAACTTTTCCCTTTTCTTGCGAGGAATCCTATTCGGAATAAGGGAATTTCCCTTTTAAAAAGGCAAACGTTGACAGCTATGGAATTAAGTACATAACCAGAGGTACCACTGTAAATACTGTACAACAAGAAAATGTGAAGTTAAAACACAAGATGCCTAGACACAGAAACTTGGGCCACAGTCTCACTGTGCATTTAAAGCCATGTCTTGCCACTTTAAATAGTCATTCTTTGGCTTCCTCCAAAGAATTCTGGAAACTGTAGTTCCTTAAGGGGGCTGTTCAGAGATACCAGAGTTACAATTCTCAGAGTTGTTTAATGATCAGTTCCTCTTCCCAGGGCTCTCTGGGGATGTGGGGATGGTAGCTCTCAGAGGGGGGAGTAGGTGTCTCCTAACAACTCTCCCATAACAATCTAGCATTTCCAGAATTCTTTGGGAGAAGTCATGACAGTTTCAAAGTGGCATGATACTGCTTTAAATGTGCAGTGCAGATGGGGCCCAACTGGAAAAACTGGGGTAGGGGGGGAAATCTGCCTTTTACTTTGTTCTTTTCTTTTTCTTTTTCAACTTTTTAAAGTTACAAGTTTATTCTTACCTATACAAATTGCTAAGCATAACATAGGCACTTATTTTATTTATTTATTTATTTAAATAAATAAATTGTGGGTAGGGGGACCCAAAACCTCAAAGAGGTTTACAAAAAATCATCTTTAAAAATATTACTTTTAAAAATTAATCATGATGATGATGATGGAGATGACAACAGATGACAATGACGGGAATGTTGTGTACCTGTATCAGCACTGACTACACTTTGCACAATTATAGTGTCATATTTTGAACACGTCAGGGTATGTGCCCAATTCAGCTCCTGCCTGGATCACGGTATTTGACCTCAAGGTAACACAAGAATGTTGGTTACTTGGGAAATTCATCAGCAGAGCAAACAAACAGAAGTGAACTACTTTTACTACTATAATTAATCTAGGGAATTCTCTTAACCATGGTTGCATCGATGGCTACCTACGGTGTTTTGGGTTTTTTAAGAGTTAGACAAATTTATGAAGGACAACATCTATCAATAGCTATTACAGGGCTGACCCAAGACAACTTGGCATATGAGGCAGACCGCAAAGTGGCGCCCCACTCCCTGCCAGGGAAAAAGGGGTGAGGGAAGATCTACATCAGAAACAAGGAGCTGAAGAAAGACTGACATCAGGACTTGCTGTCCCTTTGGGTCCTGCCGCCTGAAACACTCGCCTCACCTTGCCCCATGGGTGGGCCGGCCCTGAGCTATCTCCTTTTTTATACCACTGGTTACCAGAAGAAGAAGAAGAAGAAGAAGAAGAAGAAGAAGAAGAAGAAGAAGAGGAGGAGGAGGAGGAGGAAGGGGTAGAGGACCAATGTTACCAAATAGTATGGGAAACAGCCCTACTAGAAAAATTAACCAATAAACTGAAACTGACATGGGGACAAATAGAAGAAGACACCTTCACCCCGGTATGGCTCTCCTTTATGACAAAAATCCACCAACAGCATACAAATCAATATGGCTAACCTGATCCAAAACACCCACCCACCCCACTCACACATGAAAACAAAGTTCACTACAGCCAATCACAAATGAATAACCACATCCTAGGCCAACCCCAACCTCTCTCACTACCAAAGGAACACAAGTGAACAGCAAAGAACCTGCACAAGCAACACTGACACCAAACCCTACATATAGTAAGTAAATAGAAACATCGCCACCCGACCCCCCCATCTCCCCCCCCACTCTTTCCCCCTTTTCTTCCTAATTTCTCAACAAATGAAACTGATTAGTAAAAATGTTACATGGGGGGGGGGAAATACGAGAGAGAGACATTGCACACACTTCTGTAAATCAAGAAAATTGAAGAAGAAGAAGAAGAAGAAGAAGAAGAAGAAGAAGAAGAAGAAGAAGCGGCAGGGTGTTGGCATATGCCATTGCAGGCTTCACAGAGGCATTTGGCTGGCAGCACCAGGGGGCTGGACTAGTTGGCTCCTTGACTGGCCTCTTCTTAGTTAGGGTGGCTGCCTACACATTGCCAGAAAGGAGGAAATCCAGCACCAGGAAAGAGGGCAAAGCAGGAAACAGATTTGCATTAAAGATGCATATGCTAATTTATATGTATAGATGCAAATTTAGAAGTAATTACTCTAAGTAGAAATGCAATACGTGATCTCTGTGACTGCTCAGTCTGCTGTCCCAGTGCTGTTGACGGGCAGCTTCAAGGCTCCTGCTGCTCTTTTGCCATATGGTTCTTTATCCTTCAACCAGATTTGGACCGGACAAGCCTTCAAACAGTGGACACCCTCAATTAGAGGCCTGTCGTCTGGCAGCCCTTAAAACATAGGACTGTCCTCTGTGAAGCACAAGTCACAGCCATTGTATCCCTAAGCTCAAATACCTCTAAACATCTCGGTCAAGCAAAGCTTTCTGGAGATTCGTTACCCAGTTTACATTTCATTTGGTTTGATTTTCTCTCTATTTCCTAGTCTCTAAATTAAATAACTCCCGCTTGATTTGAGATAATGCGATCTTATTGACTATTACTAAAGGGTTTCACTTCACAAATCTTTCCCAGAGAAAGATAAGGAGCCAGGAGCTGTGGCTCAGGATTAGTCCTCTCAGTGAGGAGTGAAGGAGCAGAAAACCAAAGCTTGACTGGTCAAGGTGAGGGCTCTGGTCAGTAGAGGCCAGCAGGGAAGCTTTGTTTACCTGGCTTTCTAATGCTACACATTGCCTCCAGGTACCAAGAGGTGGAGGGACAAGGCAGTGGGAAGTTCAGCATGGTGTGGGCGTAGCAACAGGAGAGTTTGATTCCCGCCCCCCGCTATTGCACCTGCACTAAGCTGCAATGACGTACAACACCAGTAAGTCAGGTGAGCAGCACCAAACAGCCTTGCCAGCTGCTACTGTTCTGGGCAGCAGTGCCAGATTTAGGATGATGCAGGTGGTCAGGCTGTTGCCCCTGAACAGGGCGCTGAGCCAAGGGGGTGCAAAATCATCACCACCACCCATATTTATGCAAGTACCTTCAGAGGAAGGGACACGGGTGGCGCTGTGGGTTAAACCACAGAGCCTAGGACTTGCCGATCAGAAGGTCGGCGGTTCGAATCCCCGCGATAGGGTGAGCTCCCGTTGCTCGGTCCCTGCTCCTGCCAACCTAGCAGTTCGAAAGCACGTCAAAGTGCAAGTAGATAAATAGGTACCGCTCCGACGGGAAGGTAAACGGCGTTTCCGTGTGCTGCTCTGGTTTGCCAGAAGCGGCTTAGTCATGCTGGCCACATGACCCGGAAGCCGTACACCGGCTCCCTCGGCCAATAAAGCGAGATGAGCACCCCAACCCCAGAGTCGGCCACAACTGGACCTAATAGTCAGGGGTCCTCCCTCCTCCCTTCAGAGGAGATTTATAAAAAGCAACTGTACCTAAAGAAATTGTTGTGAAAATAGGAAATATGGAGGGGGCCTTGCTCAGGGTTACCAAAGTCCACCCCGTGGGCAGTCATCTTCAAGAGTGGATAAAAGCATTTGGGTTGCCACAAGTAAGCAGTAGGGCTAGCTTATCATAGAATCAAAGATTCGTAGATTCATAGGTTGGAAGGGGCCCCAATGATCACCTTGTCCAAGTGCCTGCTATGCAGGAACATCAACTACAGCATCCATGACAGATACCCATCCAACCTCTGCTTAAAAACCTCCAAGGAAGGAGAGTCCACAACCTCCCAAATCTGCCAGAACTGTATGCTCAAATCATCAGGTGATTGAGAAGAAGGAGTAGGATCTGGAACCAGGGCTCTGCTGGTGAAACAGAGAATGCCCAAACTGCAGGTGAATCCATAGGCTTGATGTGAGCAAGAGCTTTTAGCAGAAGGCTGTGATTGTGTGTGTGTGTGTGTGTGTGTGTGTGTCTGTGTACCCACATGCTCCCTCACTAGTGATTAACGTCTATGAGCTCCCATCTCTTAGTGGCCCTTAATCTCTGCCATGTGGATCGTTCTGCAATATCTTTATACTCTCTGCAATTTGTAACAGTTGCATGGCGTGACAATTGCACTTAATCACATTGTGGGCCCGAAGTTGCATTGCATCCTTGTTAAATGCGAAAGAGAGAAGGAAAGGGCATTTTAAAATATTCAGCAAACGTGGCCAGCTGTCTTGAGTTGTGTGACCCACATCTCCAGGGGACAGGCATCTAGCCCATAGACCACAGTGAGGGCAGCCATTTTCCCTCAGAGCCACTAATGAAATATCAGTGCATCAGTAGGCTCCTGCCAAGGAAAATGGATGGTGGTGGGCCTACCTCACTATAGGCCAAAGCTGGAGCTGAGCAAAATTTTAAAGAGAGTGTGAACTCAGTCACTCCCACTAAACGCTCTCAGTGTGATTTCAGTTTTGAAACTTCGTGTGTTAGGTGTAGCAGCTACAAAGATTTGTGCTGCCACACCCTATGGGCTCCACTCTTCTTCTTCTTGCCATCCAAGGTGTAGCTCAGTGGCAGAGCATCTGTTCTGCATGCAGAAGGTCCCAGGTTCAATCCCTGGGATCTGCAGGTATGGCTGGGAGCAACCCTTGTCTGAAGTCCTGGATGGTTGGGTGGCATCTGTCTGTCTCGGGAGACAATGGAGGAGTGCGCCTTTGGGGATGAAGTCAAATCGCTGGAGAGTTACAGCTTCCGCTGTGGCTGTAGAGACCAATGCAGGAGAGACATGTTTTGTTGCAGCTGGGGCAGATGAAGGTGTGCTGCTGCAGATGCACCATGGTGTTTCTTCTTTCAGCGCTCCTCCCAGTGGTCGTTCCTCCTTTGGTCACTGCTGTAGATACATGACCTGACTGCCTGTCTCCAGGCACTGTGGTTGTCTGCAAGGGATTGATTCCCACATGGTGGGGTTAATGTTGCCAACTCTCATGTCATGTTTGCAGACATCTTTGTAAGGCAGAGTTGGCCTGATGCCTCCCTGTAGAGCACATCCTTGGGGATCCTGCCATCTTCCATTCCGCGGACATGGCCAAGCCAGTGTAGATATCACTGAGACAGGAGTGTGAACATGCTCTGAGTGTGGACTTGGGAAAGCACATCTTTGTTTGAGACTCTGTCCTACCATGTGATGCCCAAAATCTTCCTGACATACTGCATGTTGAAGGTGTTGAGGCATCGCTTCTGGCAGGTGTAAGTTGTCAGTTATACAGTGGCACCTTGGGTTAAGAACTTAATTTGTTCCGGAGGTCCGTTCTTAACCTGAAACTGTTCTTAACCTGAAGCACCACTTTAGCTAATGGGGCCTCCTGCTGCCGCCGCGCCGCTACTGCTCAATTTCTGTTCTCATCCTGAAGCAAAGTTCTTAATCCGAGGTACTATTTCTGGGTTAGCGGAGTCTGTAACCTGAAGCATTTGTAACCTGAAGCGTCTGTAAATAATTTATTTACACCCCATCCATCTGGCCGGGTTTCCCCAGCCACTCTGGGTGGCTCCCAACAGAATATTAAAAATAGAATCAAACAATAAAAACTTCCCTAAACTTCCCTTAAAGGCTAACAGAATTACAATGCAATCTTCAGAACATAAGAATGGCCCTTTTGGATCTGGCAAAAGGCCCATCTAGTCCTGTTCTCATGATGGCTAACAAAGAAGACCTGAGAGCAACAGCATTTTTCTGAGGTGTCATCCCTCCCATATGTTTCAGGGATGAATTTGTGCCAGGGCTTATCACTCAGCCCTTCCCCATTTCTTTCCAATGCCTTGCTCAACTTTTGAAGATATTGAAGAAAAAGACCCCTGAGCAGGTGCAGGGTTCATTTACCCCAAGCAATTGCTGTCCGTACAGACGAGGACTTAGGATCAAGGGGCGGTATTTGTGAACTTGGTTTCCAAGCAGACGTTCCAGGACTTACAGCTTGTCGGGCGCAAACTCATGCATGTTATTGCTGAAGCAAGTCCCAGTGAGTCCAATAAGACTCATTTCCAAGAAATTGGGCAATAGGATTGTAGCCTTTCTTGGGGGCGGGGGCTGGTGGGGGAGATGCTGAAGGAGTAACAAGGAAATGCTGAAGCAGTCAGTTCCTCCCCTTCCAAAAAAATGAATAAATCATTAATCAATCCTGTTCTTTATACATTTGTCACATTATTGGACATACCATGATAAATAGTAACCAAATTACCATCCAGGTTCAAATGGTGTACACCCATCTATAATCTTAGTTAGTTGCATGCCTGGTATACTTCATGAATGCCACTGTGTCCTCCAGTGTAATTCTATATCAACGACTTTTCCCAAATACATCTAGTTTCTGGTTTATATTAATGAACTGTCACAGTTCCCATTGTTTTCCCAGGGTCTTGCAGCTGCATTCTTTCACAGGTGCTTGGCAAATTAAAAATATGGTGGTTTGGGGGTTTCAGCCTGATATAAAATCACTCCTTCAGCAGATTGTTAGGGAGTTACTCATACAAGGGAACACGTCGTTACTTTAGCATTCTCTTTTCCTGCTTAGCCAGCCTCTGTTCCTTGACTTAACCCCTTTGAATTTATTTCTCCCCCTCCTCTAGAGCTTGCAGATGAAGGAAAACACAGCGTTATAATTTGTATTTACTCTGAAAATAGCTATTCGGCGACCATAAACTGAAGAGAACATGCAGCCCGATTCTCCTCTCTTTTCCACGAGTGTAAAATAGGAGTAACTGAGCTTGAATCAACACAAGAGAATCCTGCCGCTTTAAAGACTAACAAATTTGCTGTGGCATAAGCTTCTGTGAACTAGAGTCCCCTGCACCCGATGTATGAAGTGTAATGTTCAGCTGTCATACATACACATGCGGGTGGGTTTATTCTGGGCAGAGGGGGGACATGTAAATATATAATTAGAGGAAAGTGAAATGCAAAAAAAGGTACAGACTTTGACAGTTGCAGTAAAGTGTAAATGTATGCAAAATTGTTGCAGTGGCCAGAGCAATGCTGATGATACCACAAGCAACCTATCGCTGGTAAGCTAATGAAACACTGGTTTCTGAATATGGCCCTTTCTGAGGCCAGAGATTCACTTATCCTTTTGCATTGAGGTTATGCTATTTGTTCAGTGTAGAATGCAGAAGGCTGGCCAATGACATTTTGGGCGGGATTCATTTAACGAACCCATCAGTAGAAACTCTGCACAACAGCTTTTGCTTGCGCACCCTCTTCCCCATCACATCCCTCATTCCCATTGAAATTGGGGAGGGGGCATTCAAAAGAACCCCAGAACAGCATGGGGGGCGGTTGCTCCATCTCACACGCTGAAATGCTTGCTCCAATGGGAACAATCTACATAGCACAACAACATTGAATTCCACCCTGTATACTATGAAGGAAGGCGAGCAGGTGAACAAACCCTCGAGGTCTTGGCTGATGTCATTAGGTTATCCATTAGTGTTGCCTGAGTAGTTATGGGGTCAATATTGGCAACTTGGGGATCTTGCAGTGTTGTCATTCGGTCCCTCTATTTATGTTTGTGTTGTGCTGCCTGTCGCCAGTGGTAAGTAGCTGGTTTGGATTAGGCGACTGCCCTTAAACAAGCTGTGAAGAATGTGGATGGAGAGTTTTTCTTCCTCTTTCATAATATGAAAACATGGGGCCATCCTATGAAGCTGAACTTTGGGAGATTCAGCACAGACCAAAGGCTTCACGCAGCACATTGTACAATTATGGAATTTGCTACCTACCACACAAGCTGTAGTGATGGGTGGCTTTAAAGGGGTTTTAGATAAACTCATGACAGATAAAGCTATCAGTGGTTACTACCTCCATTACCAGAGGCAATTGGCCTCTGGAAACCAAGTGGGAAGAGTGCTGTTTACATACCTATGTCCTCCTTGCGGCCTTCCTATAGGCATCTGGTTGGCTGCTGTGAGACGAGAATCCTGGACTAGCTGGGCCTTTGGTCTGATCCAGCAGGGCTCTCCATATAGCCTTATAACAGGCCTACCACCCAAAGCCTTTAAGGGAGATGTATCATTGTCCAGAATGGACTACAGATCATTCATCATGTTTCAGCTGGAAGCTACAGGTGACAAGAAGTGCTGATCCGTCACTTTCTCCTCTGACCCTGGTCCTCTGGTAGATTACTCCTGGCAGAGGCGCCAACTTGTAAGGGAGATTGGGGGGCGAAGACACTTGTGTGACATCAGGACATTGGGAGGAGCCAGGGGCAGAGTCAGATGGGGTAGTGGTGCAGCTTCAATGGCCGGTGGCTCCTCCTCTCTGGCACTCAGCTACTTCCCCCATCCTTTGCCTCCACGGCAGGAGGAGGGGGAGCTGGCCACCGAAGACACACCATGCTTGGCTCCATGCTTAGACTCCTCTGGCCCTTGATTTTTTTGAACATTGGGAGACGAAGCCCCCCCCCCCAAAAAAAAAAAATTATTGGTGGAGGCAGAAGAGCTGGGTCCCTAGGAGCTGGCACCTATGATTCCTGGGTACTAATCTGGGCTTGTTGATCTGCTTTGTTACTTCTTTGGGTCAGTATTATAGGCCAAGAAATGCTAAAGTCACAGAACTATATCCCAGCCTGTGTAAACTGGCTGAACCCAGTTAGACCTATATAGAGTTGTTCAAGGAGGAAATTCTCCAGTGTATCCACTGAGCATAAGAGTTAAGTGCTCAGAAGTGTTTAGTCAGAAGTAATCCTATTGAGATCAGTGGAGGCTTACCCTCAAGCAAGCATGAATAAGACTGCAGGTTTAGAGTCAAGGTAAACATGCATAGGATCATGCTCCACATTAAACAAGATACATATGAGCTCATGTTTTTCTCCCCCTGGTGCATTTTGGAATCTACCACATCCTTTCATCATTTTTAAGCTTTCTTCCTGGCTTCTCACAGGACTCAATTAAAGCACCTTCAGTCTCATCCAGAAAGGCTCTGCTGTTCCTCCACTGGGGAAATGGGAATGTCAGCAACGATTTCACGCATTACTCTTTCCATGCCAATTTTAAAACCTCTTATGCTCTACCTTTCATTTTTATGGGGAAGGAAGGAAAATATGCACAGAGAGAGAAAGAGAGAGAGAGATTATTTGGTTTAATAAAAAATGTTGAGTTCGCAAATGTGCTGAGGTGTACAGTGTCAAAGCGGATCTTCCATCAAATGCAGGCAGTGCAACACGTTGGGAAGCTATGGGCCATAAACTACCTTTTTCATATTAAAACCTTGTTTGTATTAAAGCCTTGCCCCACAATTTAGTGTTTCCAGATTATCAGTGGTCAGTGGTACTAAAAACAACACGGGAAGAATGTGAAGCAGCACCGCATTCCATTCCACCAACTTTCCTTTCTTATCTGAACTCTTTTAAAAAAACTCTTTTTTAAAAAAGAGAGGGGAAAACCCAACACCTCCTCTGGGGAAAAAAAATCAGAATGAATGAGTTGAAAAATATGCATTTCACTGTCAATTCACAGAAATCTTTGTGTGACAGGGATGAGCCGTGGGTGCTAATTACAGCTTAGGAGTTGAGGATATAAGTGGAGCCATGGGTCGGTAGAGCATCTGCTTTGGAAGTATAGGACTGCACATTCAGCCT